CTCTCTTGGGAACAACCACACAAAGGGGTACCCTCAAAACAGGATCTGTGATAGGCAAGCGGTGAATAATAGGAGAATCGGTCGACCCTTCTTTTTGAGCAACCCTCAATTAGTAATTAGGTTACCATCAATTAGTGGTTGGGTTGTTTAAACAATGTTTGCCCCAAACCCGCCTTTTTCTTGGGGTTTCAGGGAACCATTTCTGGGACCAGGCGGGCTTGTGGTGTGCGATGCGTTCAGGAGACACGAGGGGTGCGGCAGCAAGGGCGAGCTGGCGGAGGAGTTTCTCTTCACGTCCCACGTGGCCCTGCTGGCCGCGATTGGAAATCGGACGGTGGGCAAAGGGTGCTGGATTGCAGATGGGGATGGTGTCTTGTAATAGGGGCGCCCGGAGAAAAGAATGGGAGGCTTTCCCTTTGATCCCATGGAAACAAGCTTAAAGCGTGATTCCGATGGGGCTCCAGTTTAGGATTCGCTTTCCTTTTGCTTTCCGTCTTCAAGTTTCTGGAGTTCAGCCTAAGTTTTGGGAAGATCGTTTCAGGGACAACGATATGTTCCATGCTCAGACAATTTGCATGCTTGTAGGGATGGTCATGAACCCTCCAGTAGGGATCTCGCACAACTATTGTCAGGAGTCCTGACCATGGCACAGCTGGGTGAAGTTCCAAAGTTTGATCCCACACTTTTTCACCCATTGATCTGTCGGGAAACCAGAAAAGACTCCGTGGTCTGTCCATTGGAATAGAAGGGTCCTTGAAAAGAATGGGTTGACCCCGGATTCAAGTAGAACCAGGTTCCATGCCCTCACAGTGCTCACTCACGAGACAGGGTTCCAGTTGACCCCTCAGCAAACTTCAACAGGGTTTCTCCTCTTGGGCAAACCACCCACTAGTCAAAAGTTGGAGCATTTTCTGGGTGTGTTTCAAGCAATTCCTTAGGGATGGTATCGTGTTGGTTTCCTTTACAGGCGACCTGAAGGGCTGGTGGACCAGTGGACTGGTGAAGGGGAATGGGCTCCTTTGTATCAAAACAGGTGCCGTGCGCAGTATCTCAAAGCCGCTTTCTTTTGGCTCCCGGGTTTCCCTGTGCTTGAATCTCTACTTTCTTTTGGGGTTTACCCGGCTTTACGCACGCCCAGGATGCAACCCATATATGGCTTTCGCGGGGCGGGCGTTCCCCGTGAAGCGGGATGCCGCGAGGAAGGACCTCAAGCATCCCTTTGTTCCCTTCAGACGAAACAGAGATTTATCTCCCATCATGCACGTGCCCCCAAGGAACGTGGTTTGTGAGCCAGCATGTCAAACATCTTCTCCAAGAACAGGGGCATTCTTCACAAGGGATACTTTTCAGGTGAAAAAGCACAGCTGTGGAAACATACAGAAACATGCAGGAAAATGCATTTTCATACAGGAAAGAGACGGTCCAAATCGGTTTCCCTTGGCTTGTTCCAAGGTTTGTTGTCTTGCATGGTTTTCTGTTGGCTGCATATGTCCTTTACCATTGGCCTAATCTCCTGTACGTGTTTGTGTTTTCTTTGCGGGCACGGGATGCTTGGTTGCATGTTGGGCGACGCAGAGGCCGTGCAGATTGTTCGTGGCAGCTTGCATGGTCCCGTTGGCTTGCCTTCTGGACTCAGACTCTGCTCACCATCCCCCCCAACTCACCCAAACATTTTTATCTTGATATGTACCCTTTTGGTCGTAGCGGTTGTTTTATAGCCGCCCGAATTTCCCTTGGTTGATTTTTTCGGGTGGGCGGAAGCCACCCTAGACCAGCAGTTTCTCGGGGCAAACTGCCAGGTGAGCTTCCTCCCGTTCGTTTTCCTTTGGGAGGATGTCGCAGCTGCCGGCAGGCTGGATGGGGCCGGAAGAGGCCCTTGGAGGCGGCCACATTTTCCTGTTTAAGGGATGCCTTCCATGTCAGGGAGAGTAAATTCACCGGTTGAGCTTCTTTTTTTTGGACTCCCGCCGTGAAAGCGCCTCCAATTCAGAGATTGCCATCCCCAAAGGCAGTTGGTGGGCATAGCAAAGGTTCTTTTTGATCTCGGAGGCAGAAGGAAAGGAACGGACCCTCCATTTTGGTGTTCGCGTCCTATTTGGAGACACACCCAGCTCCTGGACCGTTTAAGATTGCCAGACTCAACTTGCCTTTAGCTTTCCTTCTCTCTTTCCTTCGATTCCCCTTTCAGCCAGACAGTTGTGACTCTTTGCAGGGGGTTCGCGTCAGCTGGCCCAGACAAGGCGGACCAAACGGAAATGAAACATCAACGCAGCCTGCCTTTGGGGTGGCTGTGCCTCTTTTTGGATATAGTGAAACCAACCTTTTTTGGTTGGGAAAAGCTAGTCGCAGCTTCTTGGGGGGACAAGCGCCAGGCCATGCCAGGCCTTTTGTTGGGTCGTTTGAAGCTCCAAGCCCAATTCATCCGCTGTTTGCTTTGGGCCTCAGACGCGTCACTTCAAGCGGGCTTGCTCGCACACCATGGAGCCGCGGGCGTCGGACAAAAGGCGCTGGCGGCTTCCTTTCCCCCCACCGGAGCCGCCCGTGCCGCCGAATCCAGCTGCCTATGGCGGATACGACCCCGCGGGTGGACTCCGAACCTTGGAGCGGACGCTGCGGAGCCGCGAGCGGCAGCTCATTGAGGAGCTGCAGCGGATGCACCGGCGGCACTGTCAGGAGATCTGTGCAGCCTATGGGAGGCTGACGCAAAGATGCGAACAGCAACATCTCTCATCACTGGCGACGAGGCACCTGCAGGATTTGCAGCAGCTTCAAATATGGCAGCTCCAGCAGCAGCAGATGCTTTGGCTGCGACACTCCGAAGCCAGAGAATTCCTACTCCGGTGTCTCTATCCCCAAGAGGTCGGGATGGAGCCTGGCTTGCTGTTTCAATGAGCCGGTTGTGATGGCCCTTAGCCCTTGGCTCTTGGCATTCGTTTGGAGCCAGACTCGAGCTTTCAGTTTCACCCTTGTCGGACTTGACAAGCACGACTGCAGCCTGGCTCTTATCAATACGTTTTGAAGGCTGAGCGACCGAGCGAAGCCCGGCCCCAATATTTTCCACAGACGACCCATCGCTCTGAGCCTATGAGCCAGCAGTAGCAGGGTTTTTTGAGTTGAACCTTGGCGTGGAAGTCATGTTTCCAATGCATGGCCCCTCGAAGCCCCCACGCATAGCAGTGAAGCTTGCGACGGTACATGTTCGCCCTTGTTTTTGTGCTGCGGGGTTCTCCCCCCATGACCAGTGGACGCGGGATAGGCGCAAAAGATCCGAGCTAGATGGACTTGCTTGCCATTTGGCTATGGATCAAAGATCAAAGTAGTGGGACCCCAACAAATTCGGTGGCACCCCGAAACGGGCAGTACGGGTCGCAAATTGGTCCGCCCATGGAGTGGAATCGTTCGAGGCTGGCAGTGGCATCCCCACCGCTCTTCAGCTGGCTGCCGATCCCCTCGCAGATCCTGCGACTGGGCTGGCGGGCTATTTGGAGGGGAAAATGAAACGCCAGGGGTTTGAGATGGAGAAGTTAGTCCTTGCCGTCCTTGGCATAAACCATCCGAGCCATTCCCCTTTTGGAACCTGAAGTGGCGATCCTTTCGATGGAAGCCAGCGAGCCCTGGGGCCCAAGCCATGGATAATGTTGGCCCCTGTGAATCCCCCTCAAGGGGACACCCCGCGATCATAATCAAGCAGAGTTGATAGACATTCGGGATTCCCACACCCTGCCCACTTGTTGGAGCTCATCCCTTTCCAAGGTCGGAAGCCAAAAGCTTCTTGAATACCTAGAATCTAAGCATGAAAGTTTTAGTTGGGTCAAACCCGAGTTAGGGCCTGAGGTGCCACCCCTCCGGTTCCTTAGCTTTCTGGCTTTTAAGGTTTGGGCGGGGGTTTCCATTTAACCCACTAAAAGTCAAACTTTTAGCAGGGGATCTGCACACAGCCCAGCAAGCGGGGGGGTTGGTGGGGCCTACGTTTGGCGTTCGCCCAGGTTCTTCACGGCGAACAACTTGTGCCAACTGGTGTGCATCAAGGGAGCTCCGGCCCGAGATCGGTTTGATCTTTGACAAAGACCGGTTTCCTGGTACGTGTTTTTGTGAGGATATCCTTTGCGGGCTGGTTGAAATGTAAGCCAAAAGGAAAACAACCATTCTTTTGAGGACCCCACATTCTGACTCATTCCCAAGTTGGGCCCAAGTCGGTGCTGCAAATGTTGGCTCCAATTGGCCATCTTATTTGGTTCGACCCAACACAAGTTGTGCGGTGGATTCCTGCCTGACCCCGGCAGGGATAAAACCACGTCCCAGTCTCGTTCTCTCAGCCACGGTCCCTGGGATCCCAGATGGAATCTGAAATCGGGGCACCCCAGGGGATTCCTCGTTTTCAGTGCTGATTTCTTGGCTTCCAGCCCTGTCTGGCGCGAAAGGCAGGGCTGGGTGTGGTTTTTCAGGAACCTTCCAGGGCTTCCCACCCAGGGCTCCCCCCTTTGGTTCAGCTTTTGGGGGTGGGGGTGGGGGGTGGAGGGGTTTCTTTGCTGCTTCGTTTGTCAGCCCAAACGGGTGCCAACTTTTAAGGCCGGAGGTTTGGGAACCGCCCATTTTGCATACGCAGTTTGGGGATGGCCCAACCTTGGCGAATGTTCTCTGTGCTGGTTTCTTCGGGAATGTGAAGAGCCCTTCCCGTCATGTTCTTGAATTCTTGAGCTTGTTTTGTCTTCAGCTTCCCCACAAGGTCTTTCGGCTCTCGGCGCACTTCTCGCCGCTGACGGTGAACATCACTCTCTCGGTGAGGCGCGGTTTCGGCTGAAATGGGATCCCCGTTTCGGAGGCTTTGAAAAGGAGATCCAACGAACACCAACCACCTCAAGAGATTCCGATTCTTTAGATGTGCGCATATCTGCTTCTTCAGCCAGCCTGGGCCATACCCTCAGTCTTACCTGTGCGCCCAGTAGAAAGTGAGTTTAGCTTCCAAAGAAGCCAGACGCTTGTTTCTTTGTTTTTTCCTTCTCCCCCTATTTAGCATCCAGTAACATTTATCTTTTCCTTGGAATTGGCATCGCTTTCTCGATGACCTTGTCTAGCTTCTGTTTTGTTCGTCGTGTTTGTGTTGGTTGTGCTAGCTCGATCTTGTCACCTGTTTTGCTTTTTTGTCTTATGCTCTTGCATTTGCTTTGCTTTCAGCTTGAAGGAGGTTTGACCATTCCACTTGTGGAGCCCATTGAACAGGGGGCAGGTTCTCCAAGTTGGTTCTGGTGAAACCAGACTCCGCGGGTTGCCGTTTGGATGTTCCTGTGCGCCATGCAGCGGATGCTTCCCATGGCCCTGCACTCTGATTCTTGGACTTTCGCCCATGGCTCCGGGAGAATTACGTGTCTCAGAAATCCTTGCAGCTTTTGCATGGGGGGTTGGGTGTTTTCCGGCTCAAGGGTTTCGGTTTCGCCATTTTTCATGGCTGGCTCCAGGAAGTTCCTGTCCGTGGTGCTGTCGATCCTGTGGTTCGGGAACCCCTGGACCTTCCTGCATTCCATGGCCACGGTGACCATCTTCGGCGCCTCGGATTTGGGCCACCCGCCCCATCGGCAGAACACTGCCATTCGAGAGCATTCATCTTGAGCCCACCAAACATGTCGCGGGACACGGGGAAAGCACATCCTTTACATTTTGAGGATCAGTGCACAATCAACACTAGCAAGCCATAGCAAGCCTTTGTTTGGCTTGCTCAGGGAATGACCTTCCGGGCTTTGGGAATGAACCTGGGGATTCCCTTATACCCTGCGAATCGGCAAGTTAGGCAAGGGCAAGCTAGTTTCCGGGTCGCGGTTTTGCCGCCTCGGACATTGTGCTTTTCTTTTGTAGGAGGGTCATGATGTTCTCAACCCCAAGTCAGGTTGATCCTTAGTTGGTGGTTTGGATTAGCTTGGAGATTTGAACCCTAGAGGGTACTTGGGACACTTACCCCTAACCAGCGGGAAGCTGACCAAGTCATTGCTTAGCTCGGGCTCCGTCTACCCAATTTTGAGGCCCACCCTTCTGATGAGAGTTGTGGGAATGAGGTGTTGTTGCTCGCTTCTGTGATACCAGGGCACCTCCCTCCCATTCAACTGGAGAATCAGTCATTTGGAATTCCATTGGTATCACAGACTGCAAGTTGACCAGGGCCTTGGCCAACTTCCGATAGAAATTCATGGACATGTGACATAGGCGTCCTTTTCAGGTTAGTTTGACTAGAAGTAGATGGCAATGGTGTAGATGGGTTTCATTCCATTTGCCAGGGCCATCTATTTTACCAAAAGGACACTAATGTTCATGGATCTGTTTTCTTGAGCGATTGTCTTTTAGACGGAGCGTCAGGTGGTGTCTTTGCGTACTCCCAGTGCCCTCCTGTGGAAAGCAAGAAGGACTAGCCGGAGCGGTGGGAAGACCTGGTGCTTTTCGAATTTGCCGATGGGAAGGATTGCTCCGCCACGAGTAAACATTGCTTCTTTGAGTCCAGGGTCAGCTCCCTTCCCAAGTTTATGGACTCCTTAATCGGCAGGAAGACCAACTAACTGCTTAACCAACCGTTTAGACGTTGTTTGACAAACCCAGTCAGGAAGTTAGACCCTCCTTGAGATAAACATGAAAGCTGAAAGCCCGTCAAGTTCAGGGGGAGTCTCCTTTTGGGATGCCTTTATCTCCCATCCTCCCAATCAACTCAACCACAAGTATTTGTTTGGTCAGCGACTGTCAAGACTCTGAATCGCTCAGTTGGACTCGTTAGCATGGTGTCTAAGTTCCCTAAGGCATTCATACGGTTCGGTTGCTTCTTTTTTGGCTGAATTGATAGGCCACAAAAAGTCCAAACTTCCTACTTGCCTCTAAAAAGGTCTTGCCGCAAAACGCCCAGGCCGCAGCTACAGGGGGTCTACTTTTGTTTTTTTCAACGAAGTGTATTTGGGGCTGGGTGTTTGTGGAATCCGTCAAAGACGGATGTGATCTGGGTTTGTTTGCCAGCCACAGACTCAAGTTAGCAACAATCACTATATTCATCATGTTTTTGGTAGTGGAATGCGAATCCTTCTCACCAGATTCAACTACAAATTATTCGGGTTTACTCTTCCAACACCAAATGTCATTGGAGGACGTTTGCTGAGAGCCTTTCGAAAGCGCTTCGCAAAGGTCACAGTACACTATGCAGCAAAGCCCAAGGCCCGTTTACTTGTACCAAGATGCTTGGAACGGTTTGTACCGGCCTGGCTACAGCTTTTGTGAAAACAGGTAGATGCACCTACTAAAATGGCCAACCGGTTGTTGGGTGCTCAATTGATTTCCCGGCGTAGGCAGGGAACAGAGACATCTCGCCATGCAAGTTTTGAGCTCACCTCGGATCAAGCGAGCTCAGCCTTGAGACAGGTTCCCGATATGCCATGGAATTTCTCACTGGATACCTCGGAACTCGGGTGTTCTTCGCGTCCAGGACGAGAAGAAGGAGTGAGGCGCGCTGCGCGCTGCGCTTCGCTTCGCGGGAAAAGTGCCCGACAGAAAGGCGAAGGGCTTGAGCTTGCCACGTCTCGGTGGCTCCAGCTATTCGGTTCCTTAGACATGTTGACCTTTTGGACAGTTTTTGACTTTTATCCCTAGGACCAACGGGGACTCTGATAGGTTTGGTCCACATATTCCCGATTGGCACACATGGGGAAATATGGGGAACTCCCTTGTCCACAAAAGAACAGGAGTGACTCGTGCATACCCGTGACAGGAACAGCATAGACTGTGGCTTCTCAAATGACTGAAAGCACCCTTCTTCCGTGATTTTTTTTGGCGTGCTTACTCAACTTTGACCACGCTCCGTTTTTGATGGATAGGAGGCTATTGAATGATTCGAACAGGGAGGAGTCAAGCCTGCATCATTGCTCTTTGCTTGCGCTCGGTCATGCGGGCCAAGGGTCAGCCGCCACCTTCTGCGAAGCAGAGTTGACAATGCCTTGCCCACTAGGCAACTGGGTCAGCTGTTAGTCGAACAACATACCCACCATTAATCATAAACCTGACTCCACTTCGGTGGGGGGTTGCGTGCAACGTCTGATGGCGGCCAGGCCGATCATCTGAAAGATGGCAGTCATCTTCCAGACGTTCGACCCCTAATGGCTATGGCTGGGGATTTAGTGACTTTCGCCCGTGGCTGCCACAGTACAAATCTTTGTTGTCGGCTCCAAGGATTCTTGGCTTGTGGTGAAAGGCAGCCAGCACGCATGCATTCATGCCCCGACAGCTGGCCCTCTCATTCCGGCCGAGGATTTTGCCACAACCCCCCTTCAAAGGGAAACCTACGGAGTGCCTATTCGAACTTCGCTCTTTTTACACATCACCTCTTCTCACCCGTTCGGCCCCTGACCCTTTTCTTAGCCTTTCGCACCCTTTCGGACCTCGGAGCCTTTGGAACAACGGCCGTCGGCGGCAGCGCCGCTAGCGCCGCCGGGGCCCATCGGCGGCGGGTCCCAGCGCATGGCTGCGGCCGTGCCGGAGGCGGGTGGTCCAAACATCCTTTGGCTTAGGGGCCACGGCTCACTTCCCGGGGTTCTGGAGGTTACAACGTGTGGGTGTTTCTTTTTTTGTCGGTTCTCTCGGGATACTATTTTGGTGCAGAGCGGCCAATCCGTTCAAGAAGTGAGGACTCATTCAACACCCACGGGGGTCGGTTTCAGACTTGTAAGTGAGTAAGATCCAAACATTTCCTTTGTCAGATCGTGCTTTTCCGCTGGTTGTTCGATGCTTTGCTTTCGCATCAGAAAAGAAAAAACAACAACACCACTCAGCACATCTATTTTTGCGCACTTTCGTGTGGGTCTCGGTTTTTTCAAGGCCCTCGGCCGCCAAAAAACAAGCAACCCCCCCCGTCCCCGTCCCTGCGACCTTCGGCGTCCGGCTTCGCGCGAGGTGTTCCGCGATGTGCTGGCTGGGGGCATCTCCACCGCCGCGGTGTCCGCGCTGCTGAACCCCATCGACGTGGCAGGGGCCCCGACCCCCGACCGAAGCCAAATCGACCGAAGCCAACTCGTGGGCCTTGGAAGGCGCACAGGGTTCCGCGATGTTTGGTTCCGAAGCTGCAACCCAGCGCGCCAGCCTTAAGCCACTCTACAAGTTTTCTTCCTGGCCTCAGGAAGGCTCTTTTCAATGTCGCAGCATGTTTTTCGATTTTGGAGTTCCGATTCACCCGGACTCTCGCTTGTCGCCCGAGAAAAAAGCTGGCCCGCGAGGTCAAGACACGACGGCAGGTGGGCATCCCGCGCACTGCGATCCAAGAGGCGCGAATGCGGCAAGCGGGTTTTCTCGCGGGCGGGCTGGGGGGGGGGGGGTTCAGCGTTTGGGGCTCCCGGTTTTCGGGGGGGGGGGGGGGGTTCAGCGTCGTGGTTTTTGGCCTGACCCCCGGACCCTTTTACTAAGCTCTTTGGAGGGGGGTCTGCGGCGCAGGCGCTGGCCGCCTGGAGGCAGCACGGGGCGTGGCAGGGCCTGTGGAGGCCTGGCATCGTGCCGCCGGGTTCCTTGGGGAACTCAATCAACCCTGGGATGTTTGAAGCCCCAAAACGACCTCCAATGTTCAAAAAGGAAGGAGTCAGTGCAAAGGGGCCGCTTTTGGTAGCCTAAACAAAGTGAACCCGCTACAAAAGGGTGAGTCCTTCCGCAACTCAAGTTGGAAGCATCTTGCAGATTGCCAACATGAATAGCCAGCCCGCATCTCAAAAAGTCAAGTTCCTCTGGACTGAGGCTGGATGGACATAGGCTACCGGGCATTGCATGATATCAGATATTTCAACGTCGCCATCCTGTCAATTCATGAAAGGGGCTTTGTCCCTCCCCGAAATTCCCAGCACGTTTGCTAGGGAGGTTTGCAGCATCCCTGACCCCCCAAAAATAGAGAACGGTACCGTGTTTTGACAGAGGTTGGGGCTGTGAATGTTGGTTGCTGCTGGTGGGGTGCCTCAATGCTTAAGCTGGGAGCTGTACAGACTTGCCCTCCGAGCCACTGGACTTTCTGCTTATTGGGAAGACCACTTTGGCCAGCAAAAACTTTGGACTCGTTTGGCCAATCCACTCAAGTGAGAAACGGAGTTGGCTTTTGACCTGACACAGCATTGGGAAGCTTGTGTTTTGCCCCACGGGGCCTGGTTTTGAGGCTCTCCAAGCCAAAAAACAACAAATCACCGACACCCGCACTCGTTGCTTTTCCCCAACGAGAACACAACAGGGTTTCTGCGAACCTCTACTCCACCCAGCGGCAGCAAAATCGGTTTGGTTTCCTTCGGTGCTCCTTCTCCACTTCTTCCAGCCAAGTCTTTGGAGCAGCCCCATTTCCCCACAAACCAGCAACCATTTTTGAGGGCCAGCGTTTTGGTCGATTTGAGTTTTCCTCAAGAGCATGTGTTTTGGGGTGCGACATTGCTTCCCCCCCCCCTTTTCCCCGGATGCCAGGCCTGGGCTGACGGCCTCGCTGGTGCGTGAGCTGCCCGGGAGCCGAGCGGCGAAACCCGGCGGAGCTACGACTTGTTTCATCCCAGACAGTTGTTTTCATTTTTTCTTGGAGGGGGCAGTCACTCCAAAAGAAATCGCCCCTTTTTCCCATGGCCAGTGGGGGTCGCGGGATAAGGGGCTATAAAGCAATTTAGTCATGATTGTAGGGAATAAGGTGTAGACTTATGTTGCCTTGTGATTATTAAGCGCAGGGCAGGTTTAGTGTTTCAGTTTAGTTGCTTCTGTTTCAGATTGGATGTTCGCGTTTCAACTTGGGAGTTTTCTGAGTGTTGATTCCCTAAACAGAATGGATGTTTACCGGGTGGTTTCACAGGGAAACTGTAAGGAATTCAACAGCTCTCATGGTTTCCCGTTGGGGCAACCTCATCGAGGTTTCGCTGCGAAGACCTGGGCCCAGGTTGCTGAAACTACTACTGTGTCTTGGTATTGTTGACATAGAGCCTTTCTGGGCAGGTAAGAAATCTAGAGCAAGGTTCTGTTGGGTTTGCGTGCCCGGTGTCCCGCCCTCGTGCCTTTATTTTTTCTTCTTCTCCTTGTTGCTGGGTTGATTGCTGCTGTTTGGTGGGCAGCCTGTGTTGGCAAGCCCGCAGCACCACGTGATTGTCAAGCGCTCGCACTTTGGGTCGGCCGCCGGCAAGCCGATGGCGTGCAAGCGCAAGCTCTGACGACGGCTCGCCGCAAGCGCACGCATGAGAGATCTCTCGATGCAGCCTCATCAGCACTTCCGTGCCTTGGGACGTGATCTCGAGTGCAGAGAAATTGCGGTGCTGGCCTCCCAAATGGCAAGCATACGCTTGGCTTGCGAAAGTGCTGCGCCTGCAACGACCTGACCTCGCGAAAGCGCTTTGCCTGCCAAAGAAATATGTACCTGAGTCTGCGAAAGTGCTGCGCCTGCCACCTGACTTTGCCAAAGTGCTGCGCCTGCCACATAGTTCCAGCCTTGCGAAGCCTTTGCGTTGCTGTGCCGGTGGGGCCGTGCGCCAAAACCGGCGCCGAACCCATGCTGAAGCTTTTTGCCAGACAGGCGTCGAGACAGAGGTGGTTGACATCGACGCGGACTCGCCAACGCACGGGTTCACCACACACCTACGCATGGTTTCTCGCACGCATTCATTCTTTCTCATCTTGTTTGTGCAACTGTGCTTGCTTTCTAATCTTTGGAAGCTATTTATTTGCGCAAGCTACCTTTCAAGTAGTTTCCGTACTACGGAAGTTTCTTCAAAACATCCTTTGATAAGCTAGTCTTTGGCTGCTTGTCTTGGCATCAGGTCACCTTTGTGAACAAGTCGTTTTGTTTTGAGTTTTGTTTCTTTCCCGAAAGAATTGCGAAGGGTTCTTAAGGAGACTTCTGGCGCGAATTGCGTGAAGCAAGAGGGTAGTTGTTGGGGATGGGTGGGTGGGCTTGTTTCGGATTAAGTGGGCAGGTTCTGCTGGTTAGGAGTTCGGTCAGGGCGGGGCTTGGGTTGCTATTGGGGAGAGTTTGGTGTGACTTCTTGCCGGCCCAAGCCCGCGAGAAGTCACGTTTGGTCCCACCCCCGACTCAGCTGAACATTGTTCTGATCTTGCCTGAGCCAACCCCCAAGACACTACCAGCCCATTCAATCGCCAGCTACACAAAAGATTCTACCGAGTTTTACCGAGTATTACATACTTGAAGGGGCATTGTCCTTAGTAAGTGGGAAACGAGCCTGGTTGTAACCCACTTACCATGGTTGTAATTCTCTTACGCGGGGTATAACCAGGCTTACCACCACTTGCTAATTACCCTGCCCCTTCAAGCACAATGCGTTTGACAGGGGAGAGAGGCAAACACGCCAGCCCAGATGCGCCTAGCGTTTCTTGGTCTGAACCTCAAAGACTTTGCGAGTTGTGACTGGACAGAAATCCACTTTGCCCCTATGAATGCTAGGAGAAACCTCCTACTCATTGGTGCAAAATCATTTTTGTCGGTTCGCTCTAGTTTTGGACCCTGCCGCTGTGGGCCGGCCGGCCTTGGG